TATTCAACCCCGGATCTGCACGGGTCGGCTGAACAAGCAACATGCTGGCAGTAACAGCCGGAAAACCACGCGACATCGTAAAGAGATTACGCAAAACCCATGACTCCAAGCTGACACCACCTTTAACCCCGAACTTTAAGTAAGGCCAACAGGTGGGCCTCTTTCTCTGCATCTGTTAGTGAGTTCATGGTGTTCATATCACAATCAATATTACAGCCGTGTCACAACGGAAAATAATCGAGTCTGGACCTGAAAAACTGATGGTTGAAAGCAAGAGCAACGAACAACGCCGAGGGGGCACGATGACACACAAACAGCCAGGTTACTCATCGTAGACTCATTAGTAGGTCTTATGCTACCCTGGAATCCTAATAGGCAGCAACGTCTAAGGGGCCTTAGAAAGAGGACACGAGATAGAACGATGTCTCGGTCTGCCTTAGGGTGAGTGAGTGAGTGTGTGAGTGAGTGAGTGAGTGAGTGAGTGAGTGTGGTTTTACGCCCCTTTTAGCAATATTCCAGCAACATCACGGCAGGGGACACCAGAAATGGGCTTCACACATTGTACCCATTTGGGGAATCGAACCCGGGTCTTCAGCGTGACGAGCGAACGCTTTAACCATTAAGCTACCCCCACCGCCCCATCTGCCTTAGAGCAAGTCGCATGTATTCAACATACCATATATCAAGTGTGCACTTCGCGCAACATATCCTCGGTGTTCCTGGGTATAATATCTCCATTCTATCAGGATAAAACCCCTGAACAAATTCTGTCTTAACTTCGCTTAAGAGTCCGATTCGAATAGCACGACGCTAAAAATAGTCGTCCAATCAAATTACTATCACGAGCGAGAGAAATCCTGTGCTAGGTAGCAGATGAGATGATGGAGGAGCGAAACCAAGAACTGGTGGCGAATGGGTCCAGAGTATTTAACATAACAGAATGGAGATCAAATCCACTAGATAATCAAGCATGACGCTACCTTTCACTTCCCACGCAAGACCGGATGTACAGCTTGTATTGGTTGGAATACATTATCGGTAAATAATTGCAGTACACGTGATCTAAATGACAACATCCATCAGACCAGAATATGTACTCGTTCGCTAATAAAACGAGGTGATCCAATCAGTCAATGTTTATTTCAGAAATACTGAAAGGCCATAGGCCTATAGTACATATCTTTGCGAAGAGAGCAACCCATGCTTGTCGTAAAAGGCGACTACGCTTGTCGTAAGAGGCGACTAACGGGATCGGGTGGTCAGGCTCGCTGACTTCGGTGATGCATGTCATCGTATCCTAATTGCGTGGATCGATCACTGGATTGTCTGGTTCAGACTCGATTATTAACAGATCGCTGTCATATAGCTGGAATATTGCTGAGTGCGGCGTTAAACAACCAACAAACAAACCCTCAGTTTGTAATAGTGGGTGGACATATTGATTTCTACTTGTTAAAGTCACATCCTCTTCTAAAATTCATTGCATGGATTTATAGAAGACATTAATTCGTTAAACTTAAATGTATTTGGAAATTGATACATTAATGGATGTAAATTCTGATAAAATGTACAAATGAGAACAAAATGGTACTCATCCTCTATTAGCTGTAAATTACATTCCATAATCTAATTTCCTTTGTGATTTTGGAATATCTCCCCGTTTCAACATTTAATTCATGTGATGATCTAGAAAATGCAGTTCTATAGTTGTACAAGAGAGGTTTCAAAAGATATTCTGCTGTTATAAAATGTATATTGAACAAACTGAAGAACTGACATTTTGACGATAAAGCTAACATACAATACCACTTTTGTATGTACGTATCTTTGTGTACACAATTGAACAACATTTTGACAAACGAGATGGTACGAAAGCCTTTTAGGGCCATTTTTGAAAAAAATATCTTAAAATTTCAAGTTATAATCTTAAAATTTTAAGTTAATATCTTGAAAATTCAAGATCATTATCTTGAAATATCAGCTTTGTATGTATCTTGAAATTTCAACTTAGTATCTTGAAATTTCAACATAACATCTTGAAATTTCAAGAAAACAACAAATGGCCCTAAAAGGCTTCCGTAAGATGGTCATGATACACTTAGAATATTACTCAGTATCATTTTTTTTTTCTAAGGCATTTCTAACAAGTGGAGGCATGACAAAGTAGACACAATTTATGGACAATTTACCTCTATGATATACTATGATGGCATACTGAGGGGATTGCCTAAAAGTCGGGCCAAGAAAAGTCGGGCCGGGCCGGGCCAGCGGGTAATACTAAAAATGGATTGCAGAAAAATAAAACGAAACGTGCATATCTAGGCAGATCTCAATTGTCCAGAAACGTGTAGTTTTGCTCATTTAATTGAGTTTGAATCAAAAAGCATCTTCAGCAATGTAATAAACTGATAATTATAGCTACATACCGAGAGTTCATACCGAAAAGTCAGTGTCTTGACTGTGTCTTTTCTTTGATGAGAAGGTTTCTCACCGATCTTAGCGTGTAGGGGTGTGATGTCCTGGGCAGGAAATGACAGTGTTTTGACTACTCTTCTTTTACTAATTCACGTGTTTGGCATCCCTAATTAACCTTTACTAATTCATGTCAAACCAACACAGGATGTTTTCTGCAAGTGGATATTCGCGAATGTCATAGGGCTGACACGACACGTGTTAATAACTGTCAAAGCGCTTCTAAAATTAAAACACATACCTTACTTAATGTGTTTCCGAAAGGGGCGAAAGTGGTCTGTGCAACCCAAGGGGGGCGGTTAGGGGTTGCTTATATAGAATTTGGGAATTTTGAGATTTGGAATAGATGCCGATGGGGTTGGGGAGGAGAACTAAGGGAGCTCGGTATGGTGGATGTTTGTTTGTTTATGTGATTTTGATTTGGTAGATTATTGTGTTTTTAAATGCGTTTTATAAGGTCCGTTTTGATTGAGAATGATGGATGGAGACTTTTTGGTTTAGTTAGTGGTTTGCTGAGTACTTTTTTGATTTGGCTATTAGAGTTTAGATATATGTTATGCCATTTTTTGGTGATTTTTTGCTTGTTTACACTTTAAATTTCTGATTTTGAGATGACATACTTTACATCAATAGACTAGTATTATATCCAAAAGAGGATAGCACCAACATGTGGCAACACAGGAGAGCGCCAACAGTACCAGGAAAGTCTTCATATTGAGACTCGACACAGCACAACTTTTATACACTTCCAGTCCTACACCAGATGGCTCCTCATTACATCGCAGTAATTACTACTTGGAACTGTGTTATTCTTTGCATTGTCATCGAGATAAGTTTGCTGATTAAAACGTGATTAGGACTTTGGTGATTAAAGCGCCACGTTTCAATCGACGTGTAATTTTCTTATTTCATAACCTTATGTGCACCTGTGACATAAGAAATTAATTTTAAAAAATCCTTGTTGAAAATATTGTATACCAACGAGACATATTCTAAATTACATATCATGGATTTAAACAGATGGTGCTGTGAATGAATGGAGCTTGTGGGTGGCTCTTTCTGCTTATGGTCATTTAAAAAGGCATATTTCATTACATACTCGAAATAATTACTTCTAACATTTCAAAATCTGTCCTATTCTGAAGGCAAATTCACAAAATACCATACAGTGTACGACTGCCAAATCCCAAGTGCAAGTATGGCAGGGTAAGAAATTGGAAACTTGTGGTTTGTAAAGACTTACTGGAGAAGAAACAGGTTATTTTGAAGTTTGTAGAGGCAACGTAGACAATTTCGGCGGTTACAGTTTGTACAAAACCCCATCAGATGCAAGTTGACCTCATTCTATGATCAACAGAGTCGATCAAGTATCATTAGTGGTCAATATAAAAAAAAGTCGACGAAAGACATTCCTTAATCATAAGAAATCTCTGCTAAAAATTAAAAGCAGAGTCGATCCCGACCACATCATGAGCATGCGTTTATGAATCACTACAGTGATCATATCAGGTTTTCGAAAAGGCGTACGGGTCCGGCCACACCCTTTGCACACGTCACAAACACGTGCAAAGGCAAGTCAGATGTTTACTTGAATTGTATTGTGTAACTATGCGTCACATTTGGAAATGTCCTGATGTCTACCATAAAATCCTTTGAAAGCTTATCTGAGACCATGGATGTTGTAACCCTGATCAAAGAACTTTTAAGTCATATGGCGGTCTTTGAAATCTTCATAAAAATAGCATGCTCGATTGTTCCTCAAAAATTGTGATGCACAATTTTCGTAGATTTGTCTAAAGCCTTTGATTCTGTTAACAGAAATAAATTATGGTCATGTTTCAAAGCACATGTTCTTAGCAGTAAAATTGGAATGTTAATGTGCTGTATGTATCAGAATGTAAATCTATGTCAGAAGTGTTCACTCCGACTTGGCCCGGGCTGTCAAAATCAACTTAAACGTCACAGATGTATCATCAAATGGCTTCACATCTATAGATTAGTATTATATCCACCTAAATACCACTTTATAGTGTCTCAGATCGCTGTACTTAAAGAAAAGAAGGGGCTCAAAGTGAAGCCCTTTTCCCTCTACATTCTCAACATAGTCTCTATCAGAAGTGTTTGGCTTGTGTTGGGTCCGACTTGGCCCGGGCGGTCAAAATCTACTTTAAACACACAGATGTATCTTCAAATGTGTTTACGTCTATAGATTAGTGTCATATCTACCTATATACCACTTTATAATGTCACAGTATATCGCCTTTAAAGAAAACCGGTCCGTTAAAGTCAAGCACTTTGACTGTATTTTCTTAAGAAAATCTATGTCAGAAGTGTTCAGTCCGACTTGGCCCGGGCTGTCAAAATCAACTTTAAACCTCACAGATGTATCATCAAATGGATTCACATCTATAGATTAGTATTATATCCACCTAAATACAACTTTATAGTGTCTCAGATCGCTGTACTTAAAGAAAAGAAGGGGCTAAAAGTGAAGCCCTTTTCCCTCTACATTCTCAACATAGTCTCTATCAGAAGTGTTCCTTTTCTTGACCTTCGGGACCTTTGGGACCCTCGGGACCCTCGGAACCCCCGGGACCTCCAGGGCCTTCAATTTCTTGTCCTCCCGGGCCTTCTGTTGGTGGTGCTTGTCTGCGAGGTCGTGATTGTTCTTGACATTCTGGACCTCCGGGACCTCCAGGGCCTTCATTTTCTTGTCCTCCGGGGCCTTCCTTTTCTTGACCTTCGGGACCTCCGGGGCCTTCTGTTGGTGGTGCTTGTCTGCATGGTTGTGATTGTTCTTGACCTCCGGGACCTCCGGGGCCTCCTCTTTCTTGTCCTACGGGGCCTTCTCTTTCTTGACCTTCGCGACCTCCGGGGCCTTTTCTTTCCCGACTTTCTTGTCCTCCGAGGCTTTCATTTTCTTGACCTTCGGGACGTTCGGGACCATCCCGAAGAGGATAGCACCAACATGTGGCAACACAGGAGAGCGCCAACAGTACCAAGAAAGTCTTCTTATTGAGAGTGATGCTCATGTCTCGACACAGCACAACTTGTATACACTTCCAGTACTACACCAGATGGCTCCTCATCACATCGCAGTAATAACTACTTGGAACTGTGTTATTCTTTGCACTGTCATCGAGATGGGTTTGCTAATTAAAACGTGACTTACCAGTTAAAGATATGTATTGCTCATTGTATAGATATCCTTAACTGGATAAGACGGAACTGGACCTATGCTATGATTAGCATGTTAGTCTGCAGATAGGACTTCTTGTGATAAAGCGTCACGTTTCAATCGACGTGTAATTTTCTTATTACATAACCTAATGTGCACCTGTGACATAAGAAATTAATATTAAAAATCCTTGTTGAAAATATTGTATACAAACGAGACATATTCTAAATTACATTTTATGGATTTAAACAGATGGTGCTGTGAATGAATGGAGCTTGTGGGTGGCTCTTTCTGCTTATGGTCATTTAAAAAGGCATATTTCATTACATACTCGAAATAATTACTTCTAACATTTCAAAATCTGTCCTATTCTTAAGGCAAATTCACAAAATACCATACAGTGTACGACTGCCAATGCCCAAGTGCAAGTATGGCAGGGTAAGAAATTGGAAACTTGTGGTTTGTAAAGACTTACTGGAGAAGCAGGTTATTTTGAAGTTTGTAGAGGCAACGTAGACAATTTCGGCGGTTACAGTTTGTACAAAACCCCATCAGATGCAAACTGACCTCATTCTATGATCAACAGAGTCGATCAAGTATCATTAGTGGTCAATATAAAAAAAAAGTCGACAAAAGACATTCCTTAATCATAAGAAATCATGAGCATGTGTTTATGAATCACTACAGTGATCATATCAGGTTTTCGAAAAGGCGTACGGGTCCTGCCACACCCTTTGCACACGTCACAAACACGTGCAAAGGCAAGTCAGATGTTCACTTGAATTGGATTGTGTAACTAATGCGTCACATTTGGAAATGTCCTGATGTCTACCATAAAATCATGTGAAAGCTTATCTGAGACCATGAATGTTGTAACCGTAATACAGTAAAAGTGCTTGACTTTAACGGACCAGTGTTCTTTAAATGCGATACACTGTGGAATTATAAAGTGATGTAAAGGTAGATATAACACTAGTCTATAGATGTAAACACATTTGAAGATACATCTGTGTGTTTAAAGTAGATCTGGACCCCCCGGCCAAGTCGGACCCAACACAAGCCAAACACTTCTGATAGAGCCTATGTTGAGAATGTAGAGGGAAAAGGGCTTCACTTTGAGCCCCTTGTTTTCTATAAATACTGCGATCTGTGACATTATAAAGTGGTGTATAGGTAGATATAACACTAATCTATAGATGTAAACACATTTGAAGATACATCTGTGTGTTTAAAGTAGATTTTGACCGCCCGGGCCAAGTCGGATCCAACACAAGCCAAACACTTTTGATAGAAACTATGTTGAGACATATAAAGTGGTATTTAGGTGGATATAATACTAATCTATAGATGTGAATCCATTTGATGATACATCTGTGAGGTTTAAAGTTGATTTTGACAGCCCGGGCCAAGTCGGACTGAACACATCTGACATAGATTTTCTTAAGAAAATACAGTCAAAGTGCTTGACTTTAACGGACCGGTTTTCTTTAAATGCGATATACTGTGACATTATAAAGTTGTATATAGGTAGATATGACACTAATCTATAGATGTAAACACATTTGAAGATACATCTGTGTGTTAAAAGTAGATTTTGACCGCCCGGGCCAAGTCGGACCCAACACAAGCCAAACACTTCTGATAGAGACTATGTTGAGAATGTAGAGGGAAAAGGGCTTCACTTTGAGCCCCTTCTTTTCTTTAAGTACAGCGACCTGAGACCATATAACGTGGTATTTAGGTAGATATAATACTAATCTATAGATGTAAATCCATTTATGATACATCTATGCGGCTTAAGTTGATTTTGACAGCCCGGGCCAAGTCGGACCGAACACTTCTGACATAGATTTTCTTACACTGTGACATTACAAAGTGGTGTATAGGTAGATATAACACTAGTCTATAGATGTAAACACATTTGAAGATACATCTGTGTGTTTAAAGTAGATTATGTCGTCTATATCGTACGGAAACCTTTTAGGGCCATTTGTTTTTTTGTTTTTTTTTCGATACTATCTTGAAATTTCAAGATCCTAAGTTGAAATTTCAAGAAACTAAGTTGAAATGTTTAAGATACTATCTTGAAATTTCAAGATACTAAGTTGAAATTTCACGATACTAAGTTGAAATTTCAAGGTAGTATCTTGTATTCCATGATAGTATCTTGAAATTTCAACTTAGTATCTTGAAATTTCAACTTCTGTATCTTGAAATTTCAACTTCTTGAAATAGAAGTATAGTATCTTGAAATTTCAACTTAGTATCTTGAAACTTCAACTTAGTATCTTGAAATTTCAACTAGGTATCTTGAAATTTCAAATCAGTTTCTTGAAATTTCAACTTCTGTATCTTGAAATCTCACCTTTTTTTCGATACTATCTTGAAATTTCAAGATACTAAGTTGAAATTTCAAGATAGTATCGAAAAAAAATAATTAAAAAATAGCCCTAAAAGGCTTCCGTAATATCGTAGTATAGTATAGTTTTCTTACAATAAGATGTTCCCCTTATCTCTTCTCGTACAGGGTCGTTAAAATAAACCATACCATATTCGGTATATTCAATGTAAATATTCCATGTCAGTAGTCAATGCGTTTGTTGCTGATTAACCGTTAAAACAGCTAGGTGTGTTTGTCTGAAATATATTTTAAAAATAAACAAACGAATAAATTAGGTTCCCTTCTCGGCCTATCGTATCAATAATATAGAACAGAGAGGAAAGGTCTTGTTTAATTCCTGATATGTTAAGCATAGCAATCATCACGTAGCATGCCTGTGGTTTATTCATCAGAGTCCAAGCTCCCCGTAAACAGGTAATTAGTAGAAGACCCAAGAGTGTGACTGGAAACAGCAGTTCATCCTCTCGCGACCTATGCTTGACCCTATGACATTCCGGCTCGGCTATATAAAGGCCCCGTGATACTATATACAGAAAGATGTCATCAGACGGGCCAAGCGGTGTCATTGAATTAATCGAGAACCCATCCCAACCGACCACAATTAATGAATATGATTGATAGATGTTAGCCAACGATAATAATACCCGTAAACAAGCTACGACAAACCAGCTCACTGAAGCTCACCTGCTTAAGTAGACGACGTCTTAATGTGCCACTTAAGAACGTTGTAAGTATCAATAGTTTTCATATACGAAATAGTACTTCGGCATTGTAGCTCATCTGGTCATATAGAAAACATATTAAAATGTCAGTTTAAAAGCGTTGTTGTAACTATCAATGGTTTGATATAAGAACTAACTCCGCGTCACTGTAGCTGATCTGATTATGTAGACGACGTCTTAATGTGCCACTTTAGAACGTTTTAAGTATCAATAGTTTTCATACACGAAATAGTACCTGGGCACTGTAGCTCACCTGGTCATATAGAAAACATATTAAAATGTCAGTTTAAAAGCGTTGTTGTAACTATCAATGATTTGATATAAGAACTAACTCCGCGTCACTGTAGCTGATCTGATTATGTAGACGACGTCTTAAAATACTACTCTAAGAACCTTGTAAGTATCAATATTAAGTATATAAGAAATAGTACTAAGGCATTGTAGCTCACCTGGTCATGTTAACATCATAAAATGTCAGTAAGTAAGACTTTTCTTTCATTAATTGGGTACTAGTTGAGGTGAGGTGAAATGGGGTTTAACGTCGCGTCCAAGATTATTGCACTTATATAGCGACGTGCATGTCGTGTGTGTGTGTGTGTGTGGCTGCTTGTACTAGTCCGGACTGATGCCGATTTATAGTGCTAGCTCACTGAGATACCATGCCGCAGTTTAACATAAATACCCCACTCAGACACAGTATACTGACTCCGAGCCGACCAGTCCTTGTTTTAGCCCCTCAACCCCGAGCGCCAGACAGGGTAACAACAAGTACCATCTTTCAACGTCTTTTGGTATGACGCGGTCGGGGATCGAACCCCGGACCTTCCGCACTCCGGGCGGACGCTCTACCACTAGACCACGGAGGCGGTCCGGGCTAAGCAAAACAGTATTATGCAAGCTGATGCGTTCCCTATCACTTTGGTCACTTTGTTTGTTGGTTGTTTAACACCGCACTCAGACATATTCCATTTATTTGACGGCGGTCTGTAAATAATCGAGTCTGGACCAGATAATCCAGTGATTGACATAATGAGCATCGATCCCACACAATTTGGGTACGATGACATGCATGAACCAAGTCAGCGAGCCTGACCACCCGATCCCGTTAGTCGCCTCTTACGACAAGCATAGTCGCCTTTGACGGCAAGCATGGGTTGCTGAAGTCCTATTCTACCCCGGATCTTCTAGATCACTAGCTTACCCACTTCTCTTCACCTGGTAGCCAGTTCTTTAGACAATTATGAGTGGGAAACCTTGCTCCACTTGGATTCTGATCCATTGAGCCTTTACTCACATAGTATCATTCACAATGGGTATTAATAGACTGATGGGGGGCAGGGGTGGCCCAGTCGTCTAAGGCGCCGCGATTCGATGTGCAGAGTTGCGTCCCTTGGGCATGCCAGAAACCTATGATCGTGGGTTCGAATCCCTGTTCGACCCGATTATGTTTCTAGGTTTGACAGCACCATTCCAGTGCTCATGGGTTTCACCGAAGTGGTAAACGTCTGAGACCTGCATCACTTCGGGCTTTCCTCCAACATTAAGCTGACACGCCGTGATATAACTGGAATACTGTTAAAAGCGGCGTTAAACCCAACTCACTCACTCACTCACTGATGGGGTATTCAATATGTTATTCCTCTCTTATAGTCTGTTGTGTTATGTTAACCGCTGAGTGGACCTTTATGAAAATAATATTACTTTTAGAAGCTGTTTTAGGTATCAACTTCT